AGGCCGTCTCATGTTTCCAGGAAACAATGCCCTTGAGTCTTTTATGGCTTCTGTGTGTCAGAGAACTGAACAATAAATATTCTGCAATAAGAGAAGTTTTCATGAGGCCTCAAAGATAGAATAACAGCGTCATGATCACGCAGGGGATCGACGTTATCTCAGGGTTTATTTTAATATTCTATCAAATATATTTTTCCCTCTAAATTAATTTAGTTTCAAACGACTTTAATCTGAGCGGAGATTTTCACAGTTTACTGCAAAACAAACACCGTCATTTCTAAGGTTTTTGTCAGAGCAGCAGCACACGTTCATCTGATCCTGCTAAGTCGCAGTCGTTTATACAAAATAAACGTTGCCCTTGGCAACAAGCGTCGTGCATGTGGATTTAACGCCATTGAGACCCGTCTATTAAATAGCTGCATGTTCTCTCTCTCGTTCTCTCTCCCTCCCCTTATTCAATAAAACGTCAAATAAAAGCTCTGTAAATAAAGTCTGTAAGTATGACTTTTTTTGCAAATGGCGACTTCTGTTGTTCACTCAGGAAGCCAATGTGGAAGCGCAAAAAATCTGCCGCACGCCGTGTGTCCACTTGAGGCTGTCTCCAATAAAATTTTTACATCAGATATAACTTGTTTGCAGCCTGGAACAAAAGACGGTTTTGATCTGAATAACTCATTTTTTTCGGCTTCAATGTCGTACAACAGATGGAGATGGAGACACGACGTCCATATTTATATCAAACCTCCTTAAAGAGACTAAAACTCTGAGTGTGTGTGTTCAGACCTGGACGGGCAGGTATCAGATCTCAGATTGATCACAGGACTGTGAGTGTGCTCGCTGCTCTGACCGCTTCTCACTTATTCAATTAGTGTAAGTACGCTGTAAGCCCGTGTAAAACAGAGGTCGCACAGGGTTAGCACGTGCTCACAGTTTACAGGACGGACAGGTGCTCTGACTCACTTTCATCAACGACTGGTTATTCTAGTGCGGGGGCCGTAAAGCCATGAAGGTCCTTAACCTCTGATTTACTCTGTGAAACATATTCAGTATTATTCAGTAGAACGTCTTCTCTCTCTTCATTTAAAGAGTTTGAGCAACGTTACACGACAGATAAAGGCTGTCACCTCAGGTTTTAAAGAGGACATATCATCCCCCTCCTCCACCTTTTCAAACAGTCCTCCTCCACCTTTTCAAACAGTCCTCCTCCACCTTTTCAAACAGTCCTCCTCCACCTTTTCAAACAGTCCTCCTCCACCTTTTCAAACAGTCCCCTCCTCCACCTTTTCAAACAGTCCTCCTCCACCTTTTCAAACAGTCCTCCTCCACCTTTTCAAACAGTCCTCCTCCACCTTTTCAAACAGTCCCCTCCTCCACCTTTTCAAACAGTCCCTCCTCCACCTTTTCAAACAGTCCCCTCCTCCACCTTTTCAAACAGTCCTCCTCCACCTTTTCAAACAGTCCCCTCCTCCACCTTTTCAAACAGTCCTCCTCCTCCACCTTTTCAAACAGTCCTCCTCCACCTTTTCAAACAGTCCTCCTCCACCTTTTCAAACAGTCCCCTCCTCCACCTTTTCAAACAGTCCTCCTCCTCCACCTTTTCAAACAGTCCCCTCCTCCACCTTTTCAAACAGTCCTCCTCCACCTTTTCAAACAGTCCCCTCCTCCACCTTTTCAAACAGTCCCCTCCTCCACCTTTTCAAACAGTCCCCTCCTCCACCTTTTCAAACAGTCTCCTCCTCCACCTTTTCAAACAGTCCTCCTCCACCTTTTCAAACAGTCCCTCCTCCACCTTTTCAAACAGTCCTCCTCCACCTTTTCAAACAGTCCCCTCCTCCACCTTTTCAAACAGTCCCCTCCTCCACCTTTTCAAACAGTCCCCCTCCACCTTTTCAAACAGTCCTCCTCCACCTTTTCAAACAGTCCCCTCCTCCACCTTTTCAAACAGTCCTCCTCCACCTTTTCTAACAGTCCCTCCTCCACCTTTTCAAACAGTCCTCCTCCACCTTTTCAAACAGTCCCCTCCTCCACCTTTTCAAACAGTCCCCTCCTCCACCTTTTCAAACAGTCCTCCTCCACCTTTTCAAACAGTCCTCCTCCACCTTTTCAAACAGTCCCTCCTCCACCTTTTCAAACAGTCCTCCTCCACCTTTTCAAACAGTCCTCCTCCACCTTTTCAAACAGTCCTCCTCCACCTTTTCAAACAGTCCCCTCCTCCACCTTTTCAAACAGTCCCCTCCTCCACCTTTTCAAACAGTCCCCTCCTCCACCTTTTCAAACAGTCCCCTCCTCCACCTTTTCAAACAGTCCTCCTCCACCTTTTCAAACAGTCCCCTCCTCCACCTTTTCAAACAGTCCCCTCCTCCACCTTTTCAAACAGTCCCCTCCTCCACCTTTTCAAACAGTCTCCTCCTCCACCTTTTCAAACAGTCCTCCTCCACCTTTTCAAACAGTCCCCTCCTCCACCTTTTCAAACAGTCCCTCCTCCACCTTTTCAAACAGTCCTCCTCCACCTTTTCAAACAGTCCCCTCCTCCACCTTTTCAAACAGTCCCCTCCTCCACCTTTTCAAACAGTCCCCCTCCACCTTTTCAAACAGTCCTCCTCCACCTTTTCAAACAGTCCCCTCCTCCACCTTTTCAAACAGTCCTCCTCCACCTTTTCTAACAGTCCCTCCTCCACCTTTTCAAACAGTCCTCCTCCACCTTTTCAAACAGTCCCCTCCTCCACCTTTTCAAACAGTCCCCCTCCTCCACCTTTTCAAACAGTCCTCCTCCACCTTTTCAAACAGTCCCCTCCTCCACCTTTTCAAACAGTCCCCTCCTCCACCTTTTCAAACAGTCCTCCTCCACCTTTTCAAACAGTCCCCTCCTCCACCTTTTCAAACAGTCCCCTCCTCCACCTTTTCAAACAGTCCCCTCCTCCACCTTTTCAAACAGTCCCCTCCTCCACCTTTTCAAACAGCCCCCTGTGGTCTAAATGAAACATCTGTGCTGTGCTTTGGTCAAAATATAACATGAATCAAGCACCAGAGGAGGTTTGTGAGCCTGTAGAAACCAGCTCTCTCAGAACGCTCCGTTTTGGTGTGTGTGTGTCTCTTTAAATGAAATGACCCCCCCCCCCCCCCCCGAGTTTTCCCCGTAGACAACACTCCTCTGTAGAGAGAATAAAGAGAAGTTAAAACACCACACGGTCGCTGTGAGACAAACGACCAGACGTTTCTCAAATCACAGTCCAACGGCTGAATTGAACAAACGACCTTCCCTTGGCATTATCTTCAAATGTCAAATATTCTGCGTCTGCTCCTGGAGAGGCTCGTTCAGGTCGGCCCCCCACGGGTCACGCTCTGTACCTCAGGAATCTGTCTCGTTAGGACACAGAGGCCGGTCCAGAGGTTAGAGGCGGGCGTGTATCTGAAGCTAACAGCCGGAGCCACAGCATCAAAACAAGCTCAAACCAGTAAGAAGGAGAAATATCTACGGAAGCCCTGAGCGGACACACAGCCAGTTGTCATGTGTGTGTAACTGTGTGCTTTATTCTTCTAACTCGCTCGTTTCTAACTTCTCTTAGTTCTGTTCTTTCATCTCAGTTTCCCCGAGCAGTGGTTTCAAGCTCCTCCCCCTTCCTCCCACTGTATCTAAATAAATCAGAGCCACTCAGCTGAACTTCAGCTGTGGCTGAATCTTAATATTTTTTGAGTGAGGAAGCACTGCGGTGTCTTTGAGTAAAGCTGGGCGCACACTGAACGATTTACTGTGGACAAACTGTTTGACTGATTTTGAAGCCCAATCGTAGTGTGGTCAGTGCACACTGAGGCAACAACAGCGAGGTCATCTCGCCCTACTACCACCCGACGTCCCTGACGGCCAGCCATCACCATCAGACTGTATCGTCCCCACAACCACCGCCGTCCTCATTCCTGCACGGCCTGCTCCGACCTCCACCTCAGCGGAGAGGAAGTGTGGACGACAGGAACGTGAGGAATACAAAGGAGACATCCGTCCTGCATATTATCACATATGCTCTTCAGTAAATGTTATGAATTGGTGATCACTGCCTGATCAGCTGCTCCAGACCAGTCGGATGATTTCCTGACACGTTTGATATTTTGGTCTTACGACTGCACACACTGACACAGTGAGAGCAGAGCCACGAGCCAAATCCCAGACATCAGCAGATTCTCTTTGTTTTTGTAGATGATGAGACGTGGTCATGGACAGAGCGACCTTATTTCAAGCGAGTTTCCTCTCTGAAATCACGATTGCTGCTCACGCAGACGCGTCAAAGAAAAGCTGAGGGATGAATCATTAAAATTCTCTGGGCTCTAGAACGACAGGTTTGGATGATCACATGAACACATTAATAACAAATTATTATTATAATAATTAATAAAACATTCAACCGCCACACTGTTTATTATCTACTCACTCATCATTTACTCAAATGTACATAACTACAAATATAGTTAAGCTGCTCCCTCTTCTTGGAATCGGTTGAAAGATACTTTAAGTCTTGGGGAGCTGGTTTCCTTGAATGTTTTTAAAGGTGGTCTTAATGATCTGACTGTAGATGTTTTAACTCGTATTGAACCCTTTTTGATCGCTTTGTTGCTGATGACTTCTGACAGATTCTGATGAATGGTTCTTTTTGTGATTCTTGTATTTAAGTGTTTCACGTCTGAAACCCTGTAATCGTGCTGCTGCCTGTTTTGGCCGGGACGCTCTTGTGAAAGAGATTTTTAATCTCAATGAGACTTTTTCCTGGTTAAATAAAGGTTAAAATATATATTTGTATATATGTGAAGCTATTTTGCAAACGCTGCTGTACAGGATTGCTGCAAACAAAGTTTTGTTGTGTTTTTATACAATGACAGTAAAGCTTCTACCTATCTATCAGTGCTCCTCTCTCTGCTGTCCAATCAGGATCTACATGTTGTGTGTGTGTGTGTGTGTGTGTGTGTGTGTGTGTGTGTGTGTGTGTGTGTGTGTGTGTGTGTCGACTCACCTCCTCCACCAGAGCCAGCATACGCCGAGTGCTCTCCAAAGACTGCAGGGAGACAAGAGAGGAGAAATGATTACCTACAGGGTCAGCAGTGAAGAGGAAACAGACGTACAGAACATCGCCTGTAACTTCACATAACATAAATACATCCATATCAGAACGTTTGGTGATCATTTGTCACATGTCTGAAAGGTGAATCAAATCTGCTCTTTGATGTTATTTAAATGAGCAGACTGGTCATCGTATAATTAGCCTTCATTCTTCTTCTTCTCTCCTCTGATCCCAGGATTAATTATCTCATTCCACCTTCTGATCGCTAACTTTCTATCCTCAGCAGGATCCCTCTGACTCTCTCATTTCTTTACCCGAACCCTTAAAATCCTCATTTCACCCTTTAATATCTCCTCATCTTTCCTCCTTCCCTCCCTCCCTCCCTTCCCCTCTCGGCTGAGCATTATCTGCTCATGAATGTTTAATAAGGCCATTTGAGCTGCTCCATTATTCTGCTGCTCTTCCTGAGCTCCTCTCAACTCATTAAAGAGGGTAAAGTTCTCCCCTCCCTCCAAAAATAAAAAAAAAGCAAAAAATCCTGATGAAAGAGAACAAGTGTCTAAAACCAGCGAGGGTCACATTAAAGCCGCTTCCTCAGACTTCTTCATGTCCTCACGAGGACAGGTCATCGATCTGAGTCGACTGTAAACCCGTCCTCACATTTTCTCTGTTAAAAAATAGAAGTACATTTATTAACCAGGTGTCCAGACAAAAGGTGTTACCATACCTCATCGGTCACCTGGTCTGCGCGCGTCTGCAGGTCGGCAAGCTCGTTGCGCATGTCTGATTCGTCTGCCATGATGACTGTCGAAGTTTGACCTCAAGCAAGAAAGAGCTGGAGGAGAAAAGAGAGAGAGACAGCAGTTAGTAAAAACCTGAGTGTAGAAAAACATGATCAGGTTTTCTGTTTGCTTCAGACAAATAAAGCTGTAGAATGAAACGTGAACAATCAAACAGGAGACGCATGGATTAGTCGCTGTGTCCACCAGGTGAGCTCCAGCTTCTCATTTCAATCGTTCCCAGGAAACCTCTTCCCAGGACAGAGCGTTTGCAGCAGGCGGCCGCGGGTAGAAAAGGCGTCCTCTTTCTGAGCGCTCTGTGCAGCCGCTCTCAGAGCTTCCAGTTTAAAATCTTAATCTTAAAAGAGCTACATCAAGCAGCCAATCAGGCTCACAGTGAAGGAAACGTACACAATCTCAAATATAAAACATACAGTCAAAAGCAACGCGGAGCAGTGTTGGTCATACAGCGTCCGTCGTCGAGGGACTGTTGTCATGGAGACAGGACACGACGTGCAGCGCTCCCTCCAATACAGGATCTTTATCTGGTATTAAGACTGAACACAGCATTGCAACAGGTAAGAGGTGTATGATATGTTATACGACACACAGAAACAAAAACCACATTTACTTCAAACCAATGATTCCCAAATCATCAATTCTACAATTCACTTAGCAGACTCTTTTATCCAAAGCGACGTACATCAGAGAGTAAGAACAACACAAGCAAGGATCTAGAAAAAAGGGAACAATGTCAGTAAGAGCAAACGATCAGCTTTGAGTCTGATTGGACACACAGGTGCTGACAGGAAGTGACCAGAGACAGAGCACAGGTGCTGACAGGAAGTGACCAGAGACAGAGCACAGGTGCTGACAGGAAGTGGCCAGAGGCAGAGCACAAAAAAGTTAATATATCGTCAACAACAACAACATGAACAGCTGCTCAGGTGTTCATAAAGAGCTGGGTCTTTAGCTTTTTCTTAAAGGTGCAGAGGGAGACGGAAGATCACATGGAGTTTGGTCGTTTGTTCCACCAGCGGGGGGCGACAGAGGAGAAGAGTCAGTGCGTGCAGGGTCAGTGTATCAGTATGCTGCTGAGTTCCTGTGTGTTCACCGTTATAGCAGCAGACTTGAGGTGAGGTAGACACGTGGCTGCAGGATCTGGGGATCGAACCCACGACCTTATGGTTGAGACCCTACCACATGTAAAGCTTTCTAAGTTCATTTGAAGGTTTTCAGCCGAAGTTTAAACTATAAATGAACTGAAACGATGCAGAATCCAGTTCCACTTAGCGCCCCCTACAGGCCTGGAGACTTCTGTTGTCATGTCTGGAAATGTTCTTTACTCTAATTGCAGTTTTTTTTCTTTGCCAGTGTCTTTTTGATTTTGCATTGTTCATGTTTTTTGCAGGACTTTTTTTTTTCTATTTGCAGCACTGCTCTGTTTTTGTGTTTGCTTTTGTTTTGTCTTCTTCGTGTGTTTTTAACTGGACTCATTCGGCGGTCCACCCCACGTTTTCTCCTCATGAAAACACTTCCGGGTCGTTGCAGAGAGTTAGTCCATGTCAGCCCAGTAATAAAAAAAAATCCTGTGTCATCCACGCTCAGTCACCGTGAACCGCACAGAGAAAAAAAAAGAGCATCAAACACGAGAGCTGGAACAATGTTTTCAGATTGTGAGATTAAAAAAAAAAAAGGGGCACCAGCTGTTGGCCGAGCTGACGTGCAAAACGTTTGATTTTGGTAAGCAGCACAAGTGATGCATAATTTACTGCTTGTGTTTACAGCTTCAGCAGCACACAGAGTCCGTAAACACAGACTAACACACACTCCCTCACTGGAGGAACACGTCTGCTGCTCCTCGCTCCCTCACTGGAGGAACACGTCTGCTGCTCCTCGCTCCCTCACTGGAGGAACACGTCTGCTGCTCCTCGCTCCCTCACTGGAGGAACACGTCTGCTGCTCCTCGCTCCCTCACTGGAGGAACACGTCTGCTGCTCCTCGCTCCCTCACTGGAGGAACACGTCTGCTGCTCCTCGCTCCCTCACTGGAGGAACACGTCTGCTGCTCCTCGCTCCCTCACTGGAGAACACGTCTGCTGCTCCTCGCTCCCTCACTGAGGAACACGTCTGCTGCTCCTCGCTCCCTCACTGGAGGAACACGTCTGCTGCTCCTCGCTCCCTCACTGGAGGAACACGTCTGCTGCTCCTCGCTCCCTCACTGGAGGAACACGTCTGCTGCTCCTCGCTCCCTCACTGGAGGAACACGTCTGCTGCTCCTCGCTCCCTCACTGGAGGAACACGTCTGCTGCTCCTCGCTCCCTCACTGGAGGAACACGTCTGCTGCTCCTCCCTCCCTCACTGGAGGAACACGTCTGCTGCTCCTCGCTCCCTCACTGGAGGAACACGTCTGCTGCTCCTCGCTCCCTCACTGGAGGAACACGTCTGCTGCTCCTCGCTCCCTCACTGGAGGAACACGTCTGCTGCTCCTCGCTCCCTCCGCTGACCTGACCCCCGAGTCTCCTCCTCGGGGATCAACAGTGAATCAAAATGAACGAGCGAGGAGGAGCTCCATCACTCCCGTCAGTTTGAAGAAGTATCAGGACGGCGACAGGGTCTATTTTTGTTCCTCTGACGCGCTCACACACACACACACACACACACACACACACACACACACACACACACACACACACACACACACACACTCACACACACACTCACACACTCACACACACTCACACACACACACACACACACACACACACACACACTCACACACTCACACACACTCACACACACACACACACACACACACACACACACACACACACACACACACACACACACTCACACACACACACACACACACACAGCGGAGGTATGGTCCATGAAATATGAATGTGGCTGTCACGCTGCAGGCTGATAGAGCTCCATGCTGCTGCTGCTGCTCGTGGCTGAAGCAGCAGAAAGCTTTTAATGAGGTAAATAATCTCATCTGGTCCAATCACAGCTGCTTCCTGACTCTTAACATGTTTTAGTTTCTATCGCTCAAATCGTTTCTGGACTCTTTAAATCGAACGTGGCCTCATCATCACTGATATATAAATGTAACCACCCTGCAGCTTTCAGGCTCGTCATTAAAGCTTTATGTAATCTAATCTGCTGAAACATACAGAAGCAGCCCGGGGACCGTGGGAGTGCCGAGCCTTTCACTCAATCAGGCGCCGTTTTCTGCAGGAGGATCTCCATGTTTTCATCTGTTACAGCACGTTGTTGTTTCTGAAAACAGACGGGATGTTTACATGATCACAAAGACTCAAACTGAAACATGTTCAAGTTTACGCTCCAAAACTGGCCTTAGCAATCAGTGCACGCTCCACACTTCCTGCTTTGAGCCGACAGTTAAACAGCGTGAGAGATTTGATTTGATTTTTTGCGATGGCAGCGCCCACTCTCAATAAGAAATCAAACCAGGTTTCTTTGCTGCACTCACACTCTCTGTGCTGAAAATACTTCGCAGAGCTCATCAATGTCACTTCTCCCTCACGCACCAATCAGAATCAAGAAGAGGCGGGACCTCTGATATCAGCTTTGTCAACAAAAATGGCGGATTAGGAACTGACCTGACAGTTTCAGGTGTCGAGCTGCTGCTGATGTCAGGACAC